CCTGTGTCGCACAGCATGAATAGAGGGGCAAGCCTTGCTGAGTTGCCACCCTCATTACTAAACCAGTATTTCCAAATGCCAAAAACCAAGACACTGGAACAAAATGGGGGCCGAACATTAGGAGTACCAGGAAGCAGTTCTGTGTAAGTCAACTTTGAAGGCATTCCCTGTATACCAGGCAATGTGCATAGAACCAGGACCTCAGCCATGAGACCAAGGCAATTCCCTCATTTCTCCCAGGGGCACAAGTTCGGCATCAAAGCCACTTAGGAAATCCTCGTGACCTAACCATAGACAGCTCCCTGCCACCCTGTGGGCACAGCAGGAAACCAAAGGTTCAGTTCTAAATGCATCCCCTTCCATAGCTATGAAAAGGCAATAGACCTCCACCATCGGCCCAGCAATGCTGCCAACCCTGAGTCTCAACATCCACAACTCACACACCACGTGACTCCAAAGATATTAAGGAACAGTAGAAAGGGCATGCATCACCAAACTCAGGTTTAGTTACTTTCCTAGGTCTCATATACTTATAATCCCAGATATATCTAAGGATTCTTCTGGCTCAGAGAGCCTATGATTCTGGACTCTCTCCTTAGACAGGACAAGGACATCACTCAGCAAGGAGCTGGCATGCCCAAGAGCCTTGCTGGTTCTACATATAGAAAACCTTGCAGTTTCCTCTCCTTATCCCACCCCATCTGGGTAAAGAGAGTTCTATAAAACCCCAGGACATCCTACTACCTCTATAGACAAGAATGCCACTACTTTTAGGCCTTCTCTTAAGACAGTGGTCGGCAAACTCAGTCAACAGAGCCAAATATTAACAGTACAACCATTGAAATTTCTTTTGAGAGCCAAGTTTTTTTTAAACTTAAACTTCTTCTAACACCGCTTCTTCAAAATAGACTTGTCCAGGCTGTGGTATTTTGTGGAAGAGCCACACTCTCAAGGAGCCAAAGAGTCGCATGTGGCTCGTGAGACACAGTTTGCCAACCATGGTCTTAGAATACCAGAGCTCGGAATATAAAAGACTAGGACTATGCCACCAATGGACATGGATCCTGACTAGGAATCAGGGGCCTGTGCATCATTTCTATATCTATTCACCCATTCATTCAGGAATTTTTCAGGGACAATTTTTCCCATTGTCCCAATATTGCTCATTCACTAAAAAAAAATTATATAGTAAGCCCACTCTTTTCTTAAGAAGGTAGGCAAGAACAACAATCATTTTTAATGTTTGTGTGTGTGTTTCTCCCCAAATCCTTTTTAAGAGAAAGAAAAGGAATCTTCCTACATGAGGATTATTATAGGGATATACCACTTTAAATGAGGAAGTTCCCTGAAAACTTGTATTCAATCTTATATTATCCATTCATATATTATTGATGTTAAGAATAGTTCTGAATTGGGCTAGTTATATTTAATACTGAAGCTTTGCTCCCCAATCCCTTGCAGTGACATAATTATATGTAAATACACACACCCCAACCCCAGCAGAGTTCCTATTAAAAATGCCCAAGATAAATTATTTGGTAATTAATAATCACTCCCTAACGTGTCTGCTTTGCAAGTTTCTAGGGTTTTGTTTGCATGGAATATAGCTGCTTTCCTACGTGCCCAGCTCCAGCCCTCCATGGGGTACAGCTCAGTTGCCAGTCTCCACCCCTGGCCACCAGCCACAGCTCTCCCAATGCACCTTCTTGATATAGGCAGCAATGTCCTTCTCTATGTTGTACTTCTCCATAGCCTGAGTGGCGCAGTCGACGGCATCCTGTTGCATGTCCTCAGACATGTCTGCATTCTTGATCACGGCCTTCCGGTCAGACATCGTGACACTGCAGAAGAAGCAAAGATGTCAGACTAACCAACCCCATGACTCTGGACATTAAGTATTAGCAACTGGGTATGGGACCTCAGTGGGAGAGGGGAACACGGAGGGTAAGAACAACAGAAAGCACAAGGCAAGAGGTAATAGAAGCAGCTCCTAAGCTCTTAACTGAGATATGGCCTCCAAGCCTGGGAAATACAAGATAAATAGTAACAAAGATATAATAAGCCATCAGTGTTTTTTTTTTAAATATATATTTTATTGATTTTGTACAGAGGAAGGGAGAGAGCGAGTTAGAAACATCAACGAGAGAGAGAGTCATAGATCAGCTGCCTCTTGCACAGCCCCTACTGGAGATGTGCCCGCAACCAACGTACATGCCCTTGACTGGAATCGAACCCAGGACCCTTCAGTCCCCAAGCCGACGCACTATCCATTGAGCCAAACTGGTTTTGGCAGCCATCAGTTTTTATAGTGAGGATTTTCCAACTCTAAATTTATCTCTTTCTGATATTTTGAATAGTACCAATAGCCAAGACACTATAATATATCATCTGCTATCAATGTCCTTGTGGCAAATTATTTAAGTTGTGTATTTTCATGCCATTGCTTCGGGGTTATCCTGAGGGTAAACCAGGTGGCATAATACCTGAAAACAATAAGCCCTTGATTTAATGACCATTATTAAATCACAGTAGAAAGCAGACAGACTAGAAATTTTAGCCATGAGGATAGGAACAGCTAAGTATCAGGGGGTTGTTATAAGGCTTAATTAAAATTATACTAGAACATCTGTTAACAAAAAAAAGTCTACATAGGGGTCTATCCCATTGGCTAGATTCAGCTAGTCACCTGTTTTTATAAATTGTTTTAGAGGAATACACTATGATGGCAGAGTTGAGTAAAGTTGAGAGACTGTATGGCTTATAAAGCCTACAATGTTTACTATCTGGCCCTTCACAGAAAATGTTGCCTAACACCAAGGCTACCAAGGTGACATAAAGGTGAAGAATTATTTTAACACCCCCTTTCCATAGCTCTGCCATCTAAACCAGAGATTCTGGGGTAGGCCTAGGATGACAGGCATCGCAGGAGGGCTGGCTACAACCTGCCTAGCAGTCTGTAGCATGTGAGGATGCTTTGCAAGAATAAAGGAGATGAGCTGCAAAATCCTATCCTCTGTCCTTGACCACAGTTCTGTCACACACAGCAGTAAAAAGCAACGCTCCCCTCATGTCCCACTCCCCAAAATACCATTCTGTGGGTCCAGAGTAGTGGACAAAAAATGCTGTCATTCCAGCCCTGTCTGATACAAGGCTCCACAGGACACTGCATGCTCAGAGATCCCTGGTATTGTTCCCAGGTACCCTGATCTCTGAATTCGCACTAGCCTGTGGCCTGGGTAGGCTGAAAGGGAAACAGAATTCACAACTACTCCTTTACCTGTATCAGATGCAAAAAATTCATGCAAGGCAGCTGCCAGCTGGGCAACCCTTAACTGAATCCAAAGCACCTTTGCCTGGCTCTATCAATCTAAGCAGGGCTGGTCCTACTTCAGCAGAGCCTGGCAGAGCTAAGGATTAGTGGATGAGCAACCCCTGTCCCCACATCTCGGGAGTTAAAGTCAGAGCCTCAAGAGGAGTCTGTGAGCACTGCCTGTATGACCTTGGGCAATTCAAGATATTCTTAAAAAAAAAAAAAAACACAAAAAAAAACACCCAGTGATTTTTAAATAAGACAAATGAGGCAACTTCGTGAGTTTGAGCAAAGGTACTAGAGCAGCACTGGGAGAACGTGCTGATATGTCTCTGTGTTGTCAAAAAAACTAGTGTCACCTGGTATCCTATAAACTCAGAGTGGGGGTGGGGCCAGGTTACAAACGCCCCGAGTTCAAGTACCAAATTAGCTCCCTTTCCCCAGCAAGCTCACCTTGCCCCGCTGCCTCATCCCCAAAGTGCTAAGGGACAACTTTATCAGAGTAATTAAAGCCACCTTACTCTCCAGGAGGGAGCCTGCCGTTACATAACCTCGGTCTTGTGACTACAATGCCACGATTCTTCACCCCGGGCCCCCCAGGCGTCTGAGAGGTGAGGCCTAGTAGCCTCAATCTCCCCTGTCCAAGGTGCCGGTGAGAAAAGGCTGCGGAGATGCCAGCCTAGCCCCTCTCCTTCCTGGGGGGGGGGGGGGGGGGGGAGGCAAGGGCCTGGGGCCTCCAGACAGAAGGATAACCCGAGGGCCCCCGGCCAGCTGCCTCAGTCACGAGCCAGGAGCTCCTTGGAAAGCCCAAGAGGGCACTCCAGAGCAGCTCCCATCCTCTATCCTCGGTTTTGCGACAGGAGAGAAAAAAAAAAAAAAAAAGGCTAAAGCCTCGGAAAGACAGGGACCAAGCTCCCTAACACAGAGACTCTGGTTAATTTCCTCCGTTCCCATCTCCCAAGAGGCCCCATCCCGCCACCATCCCACCCCCCAGAAAGCCGGCCAGCACCAGGTGAAAGGGAAAGCATCCTCCTCCCCACCCCCCCGCCGGCCCCGATCGGTGTGGGGGTGACTGGGCGTCTTCGCCGCAGGAAGGGCGCCCCCGAGAGCGGCGGTGGCGGTTTCGGTGGCGGTGGCAGCGGCGGCGGCGACGACGACGACGACGGCAGGAGGAGCCGCGTCACGATCGAGTCCTCCCCACCCCACCCCCTCGGCCCCAAACACCAGAGGCCTCTCCACGCAGCGCGGGGGGACTCCCGGGGGACGGGAGCCGCCGCTCCGCAGCCCGGGGCCTCCCGCCGCGCCCCGAGGGGGTCGCGAAGGCAGGGGGTGGCGCAGCTCGGGGAAGGAGGGGCGCCGGGGGCGTCACGCCGAAGCCAGCCTGCTCCGGGCCCCTCGTGAGGAGAGGAGGCGGCGGCGGCGGCCGAGGGGGGCGAGGCGTCGGAAGGCCACCGCCCGGGGGACGCCCCCAACCACCGCTCACCTTCAAGCAGGCGGCTTCGCGCGAGGCCCCGGGGGAGCGGGCAGAGATGGCCTGAGGCAGGGCGCGGGCAGGGGCGGTGTCACACCCTCGGCTCCTACGGCAGCAGCCGCCGCCGCCGCCGCTGGTCGGACTCCGGCTCCCGCAGCCCCGGGCCGAGAGCTGGCCGCTGCCGTCCGCCCTTCGAGCCTCCCCGGCCGCCCTCGCCGCTCACGCCCGCCGGCCACCTGCTCCGTCCGCACTGGCGCCGCGCCGCTCGGCTCCGATCCGCTCCGCCGCTGAGAGCGACCGGTGCGCGGCCCCCGCTGAAATAGCGCCCCGCCCCGCCCCCCCGCCGCGCGCGCCGCCGTCCGCGCTCCCCATTGGCTGCGCCCGGCCGGCCCCGCACTGCGGGCTTCTCCCCGCGCCGCTCTCGCCCCACATCTTGTTTCCTCCCACAATGCCTCGGGGCGGAGGGAGGAGGGGAGCAGGGCGGGGGGGGGGAGGAGGCGGGGGAGCCGGAGAGAGTGGGGGAGGGAGTCGTGGCCTCAGAAGAAAAAGAAGAATGCGGACCCCCTTCACCCGGGACTGGAGAGGCCGGGCCTAAAAAGGAATAAAGAGGCGAGGCTCCGAGAGTGAGGAGAGGAGGAGGGGCTAAAGACCCTAATCCTCCCCCCAAAAAAGAATAGAGAGAGGAGGATGGGGATTTCAGACCCAGGGAGGTGATGGGGGAAAGTGGTAGAGATCCTAACCTTAGGGAGAGGAGCGGGAATGGGGGAGGGGAGGAGGGGGGAGTCATCAGCCTCAGAGGAAAAGACAAAGACCCCCTTCCCTCCCCCAAATCTGTGGGAAGCAGAACAGGGAAAGTCTGGAACCAGCCCTAGGGCTCCCTTCCCCTCACATCCAAGGGAGGCCCCGTATCCATCCAGCTCAGCCTTTGTTCTTGAGCCTCGAGGCCACCGCACTAAGTTGCCAGCCCGAGCCTGGGTCGCTGTTGTCTTCAAGAGCAGTGGAGGCACACACGTAAGCACAATTGTGAGAAGGGAGCTGTGTCGTCTGTAAGCCTTTCTGGTCGGTCAGTCCCTGCCTGTCTGGTTAGGCAGGGCTGGAGGGGGAGTGGACAGAACCCCCTGGAAGTGGGAAACGTAGTCTGTCAGAGCTATGAGGAGCCTTAAAATTCACCCTTCCATATTCTCTCCTTATAAAGGAGAGAACCAATGTTGGGGGGTGGGGGGGGGGTCCCTTGACAGGTCACAGCAGGTCATGCCTGGACGTGAATTCTAGGCTGAGAAGTGGTGCTTCCAGGCAGGAGTCCCACGGGTAGCTGGAGAGGCTGTTAGTGAGAGTGCGTGTATGTACACATTGGGGGAGTGTTGCCCTCCCCCGCCTCACACCTCTAGAGAAGAATAGGAAAGGTCTGTTTGGTTTTTTTTTTTTTTTTTCTCTTCCCCTGTTTTATAAAGGAAGTGTTTACCTTAAAAAGTGGTGAGTCTACTGGGAGCCAAGCATTTGGGCCGTACAATGAGGATTAAGAAGCTCCCGTGGCCATCACTTTCCCTTCACTGCCCCAAACCATAGTCAAGACTGGCTCTGGCCCTGTCTGCTTATGGTTCAGGACAACATGATGTAGTGTCCATTATGTGTCAGGGGAACATGGAAAATCATCCCTTCCCACTTCTGCTTGCCACAGCTCTGTCATCTGCCAAACTCAGCCAGGATTTCAGAGGAATAGGCAAAGCCTGAGGAACCCCCTCACACCGAGGGTATTCTGATGTCAGCCTCTGTGTGAATGAATGGGGGATGGGGCATATGTGGGGAGGGAGGAGAAGTGGGAGGAGAAGGAGGAGGCTTTATCCACTTAGGGTTTGTGGAGAATTAATCTCATGAACTACTGGGAGGAGAACTTAGTGCCCTCTTTCTCCCGTGATCTTTAGCTTCCAGCCTCTTCTAGGGCCCTGAACGTCAGAACCGCCATGTATGGTTGTGCAGGTTGTTCACTGTACAATGGCATTCAGCCTCAGAAGTAAATGGAAGCTAAAATACAGCCTGCACTCCACTTGCTGTGTGCCCTGGCACAGGCCAGCATCCACTGGAAAGGGGCATACCTGTTTCAAGTGGGCATAAAGGGAATTAAACTAGTGGTGGCCCTTGCAAGGCAACGCAGCCAGGACATAAATCCTCCCTTTCTCTGGCCCCCTTTGCTGGATTAGAATAGGGCAAGAGTTTGGTCATTCCCAGACCCTGACTGTGGTCTGGAGGAGTAGGGACACAGAGAACTTCAACTAACAGGGATCAGACTTTGACTTTTAAGAAATAAAATATCAGCATATATATGTGTGTGTGTGTGTGTGTGTGTGTGTGTGTGTGTGTGTGAAGCGTGTGTCAAGGACTAAACTCCAGAATATCAGAAAGATTTGTTAATAATAGTATGGTTTAAAAATAAGAGCTAATATTTGTAGAGCCCTCACTCTGTGCTGGGTTCTATTCTAAGTGTTTTAAGTGCATATATTATTGCATTTAATCTCTAGAACCATCATGGCGAGTATATTACTATCCCCCTGTCCAGAGGAAACTTGGAGAAGTTCTGTCAATTGTCCAAGATTTACCCAGCTTGTCAGCGGCAGGATTCAACCCCAGGCTGTGCTGAGTGCTCCCAGTATTCACACTCAGCCATCCACTCTCCTGCCTCCTCCGAACAGAGAAGAAAGTGTAAGCCAGGGGTTCCATAGCTCTGTCTAAATCATTCCAGCATTTCCTAAACTTATCTGGCTCAAAAGCCCTTTTTTATCCAAACATTTATTAGCATCTTCAGGAACTACTACTGTTCCACTGGAAAACTTGTGCTATACTAATTACTGCCATTTGTGTAAAATGCTTACTTGTTTAGGGTAATTACTAGGCAGCATAGTGACTGTTATAATTAACTTCAGCTTAGCTTGGTGCCTGTTTTTATTTGATGCCACCACACGTTCATGACTGCCCAGTTTTCTGTTGCCCAGATAGCAGAGCCTTGTCTTCGGATTTGAAAATCAGGGGATTTTTGTGTTTGTCTCATCTGTGGACCCATTACCCTCTGGCTACTTCTTTAAATGAGGGGTTTTCCAGGGCCCTGTGCTTCAGTCACTGTTCAATTTGAGTAGTTTCATCTATGTATATGGTTTTTACCATAATCTGGGCCCTGATAGCTGCCCTACATCCCAGACCTCTCCACTGTGGGTATCCCCCAGGCTCTTCAGACTCCACATGCACACATATCAACCCCGGTTGTTAAGAGCATTGGCACTGGAGCCAGAATGCCTGGTTTCTCACTGCTTTCCACCCCTCTTCTTCCAGCTGTGCAGATCTGGCCAAGCTATTTATAATGTCTCAAAGTTTTATTTCCTCATCTATAAATTGAGAATAATAATATCTACCCCGTAGAGTTATGAGAAAATGCATGAAAAACTCCTAGCATGATGCCTGGTCCCTATAAATGATTAATAAATGTTAGCCATTATCAACAGCTCTCTTCCAGACTTGTATTTCTTACCTCAGTTCATGGCCCCATTATCCACCCAGGCACCAAGTCAGAAACCTGCAAGCCCCCTAGATTTGAGACTCTCCCTTAACCATCACATCTCCGTCATCACTCACCTCCTGAATATTTCTCCAGTTCATGCCTCCTTTCATTATAAGTGTCTCATTTTCATTATGAATACCCTGCATCAGGTGCTCCTCCAGTTGGTTGCTTGCCCCCATTCTTGGTACCTTCCCAATCCACACTGCAGTGATCTATCTAATATGCAAATCTCCAGGTCCCTCCCAACTAGAAGAAACCCCTGTGCTTTACCTAAACACACACACACACACACACACACACACACACACACACACACCCTCTCTGCCTTATTGCTCCACACTTCCCATCTCCCTCTTCAATCTCTGGTAACACCATCAACTGCCGATGGCTTCCCCCACACCCAGACTCCACGCCTTAGTCCTTGTGGTTCTCTTGCCTACGAGGCTGTGGCTTCCGTTTGTGGTTAATTTCTTTGCCTTCTCTGAATCCCAGGTGGGATGCATATTCCTTTTCTTTGCTTTGGGCCATCCAGAGCTTATCACTGATCACATTCAATTAAACTTGTTAGTCATATGTTTGTCTATAGTTCCTTGCAGACAGGGATCATGTGTGGGCTGCAGAACTTAGCACAGTGCCTGGAACATGAGTAGTTCTCTGTGAGTAATGGTTAAACTGATGGTGCTCATTAATGGCTGAAAAGTATAGCTTAGAAAGACACTCTGTCTCTTCCTCCACTCAATGAACCATGACCAGGCTCTCTGTCTATTTTTTTTTAATTTTTTAAAATTAAATTATTATCTGTGTACATATAGCATTGCCCCCCCCATACATGCTCTCCCTCCCCAGAGCTTTGTGTCCATTGGTTGTACTTATATGCATGTGTACAAGTCCTTCAGTTGATCTCTTATCTTCCCTAGATCTCCCTACCCTCCCGGCTGTAATTTGACAGTCTGCTTGTTGCTTTACTGTCTCTATATCTATCTTTTGGTTCGTCAGTTTATAATGTTCTTTATTATCCATAGGCTCTCTGTCTTTGGAGGACCAGCAATGAATGCTATTTACACAGGGTCTTCCGGTCTAGAACCAGATTGCTAGCTAAGGTAAATTCCTGTTAGCCCTGGGGAAATTCTTGGCCTGATTTTTGAATTGATTTCCTCCTTAGAGTCTCTGTCAGGTAATTTGGCTGATTTCCTGACACCTTACAGATAAAGACCATCAAGGACTCTCCCACCCCAACTGACTGAGTCACCCAGAAGAAAAAGACCATCCAGAAGAAAGAGACTATCCAGTGATAGAGGTCACTTCACCACGCCCTTGAGCTGTTGTCTTGCTTCAAGGGCTCCAGGAGGATGGAGGAAGGTAGAAGTGCACACACTGTTACTCCCATTGCACTGCAGACCCTGGTATCAGGCCCCAGGGGGAAACCTAAGAAAGAAAGCAACATGACTAGCACTCCTGGAATCTGTCCCATTTCCTTGTTGATTTCTTGAGTTGCCTTAACAAACAAACTTCCCTAGGCAACCATTTACCAAACCCCAAGCATTGCCCTTTTTCCCCCACGTTCCCTGAAATCTGAAGGAACCAGCCAAGGGCAATCATGTGACTGGGAGCTAGTGAGATGAGCTCTGGACTGGGAGTCAGAGGAGAAGTCCTAAGCCCAATGTGGTTCTAGTCAAGTTATTTCACCTCTCAGAATCTGGATTTCTTCATCTAAGAAATATAGGACTAGATAACCCGTAAGGTCCCTGTCAGCTCCAAAGTCTATGATTCTCTGATTACAAACCCTCTCACAAAAGGTGCCTTCCCTGTGGGTCAGAAATTTCTCTACCTCTAGCCAAGCTTAAATTTCCTTTTTTTTTTTTTTTTCTTCTGATTCTTCTCTCTG